CCTAGGTCTTTGTTTTACCCCTTAACTCCAGTATATATCATTTCACTGAGTGAGCCAAGGCAGAGAAATCTGAGTCTTACTTCAAATTAACCAGAAACAAACTTGGACATAATTATACATACTTATCAGATACCATGTGATTCCTTAATTCATGTACACATTTTGTAATGATTGTGAGAAAAATGTCTTTTCTATCAAAGTAGTTTGCTTCCTTTTTGTTACTCTTTTGATAAGTTCTTGCTTTGGCCGTGTGGCTTGGCCCTTGTTAATTACCTACTTTTCCTGCTGCACTCTAATTAAGATATTCTGTTAGAAGCTTTTTGAACTTCAGTTACATTCTGTCAAACCACATCCTACTACAGACTGGGAACCTGAGCTCAGCCAATCTGAGCAGAGGGGCGGGGCCTACTGGGTTAGGGCTCCAAAGGGAGCAGCCTGCCTGCTTTGCTTTGCTTACCAGATTTTTGGCTCATGGCGCACCTTTTTTTTTTTTTCTTTTTGGTCGGTCGTGGGGCCTGAACTCTGGGCCTGGGCGCTGTCCCTCACCTCTTCAGCTCAAGGCTAGTGCTCTACTACTTGAGCCACAGTACCACTTCTTCTTTTTTTTTTTGCTTATGTGGTGCTGCGGAATTGAACCCATGCATCCAAGACAAGCACTGTACCACTGAGCCACCTTCCCAGCCCCTGATGGTGCACCCTTCTGCAGAGGTAAACTTTGCCTTACTGAGTTCCTTTTGAGTCGATGTCCTTATTCCTAGGAGCTATTTCTAACACTATCAAGTTGGTATTGGTATTTATCATATTCTGTGCCTTAAAATTTTATTGTTTAGACTGAGTACATCCAAAATCCCATCATCACATTATTGCTAATTCATGGATGTAATAGGATATCAGAGCTTTTACATTTTCTAGAGTGTAATACTCTATGCAATGACCAACATCCTACCACTCTCAACTTACATGAGATCAAATTTTTAGATTATATATATGGATGAAATCATATGGTATATGTGTTCTGATGCCTGGCTTATTTCACTCCATGTCTACCCATAAATCTTACGACACACAAATGATAGGATCTCATTCTTTAGGACTGAAGAGTATTTCATGATATAAATGGATATATATGCCACCTATACACCATTACTATATTCAATATTTACCAAATTTCTTCATATATACACATATTAAGAATATATTCTTCAGCACATATGTGCAGTCATTAAAATATATGTATTATTCAAAATATATACTACTATTTCTTCATCCATTGAGGGAAACTTAGGTTTATTCCCTATCATTACAACTGTGTGTATGCATTCTTGAGGTTTTTTAAAAAAAGATTATTCTTTATCCCACAGAAAAAGTGCTGCTTTTATTGGCATTTGCCTTGGGAGTTCTATACAGTGCAACAAAAGTGTTAGCTAAGCCTATAGTCCTGGTTGAATTCACTTGGAAAATACAGCACATTGATTCCCAAATTTCTAGAGGGAAGAGGAAGGCAGCGTGTAGTGATGGAGCTGGATGGATGACAAAACAATGTCCCAAGGCTCTATCACCTCTTCCAGGGGAAGATGCGACAACAGCAATGCGCTCAGTGCACTGAAACATCCGGACATCCAAAGCTCCCAAGACATCCACCAGACACCTCAGCGCCCTTCCTGCCCCAGTGAGCTTGGGCCTATGGACACTATTCCATGCCCCTCCTTTCTGTCGCAGCTTCTCTATCCTGGAGATCCACACACTCACACAAACATGGTTTTCTACATCCTAATGTCTCCTCTGATTTTAGTTTTACAGTGTTCACTATGGAAGTCTTTTACTCCTAGATATTTATTTTTGTGAGTATTGTAAATGAATTGTTTTACTGATTTCTTTTGCAGCCTGTTTGTAATTAGTATACAGAAAAGCTATCTGCTGATTTTGTATCTTGGTACTTTGTAGAAAGTATTTATCAGATCTAAGAGTGTTTTGGTAGAATTTTTAGGGTCTTTTGAATATAGCACCATATCCCTTTTTTTTTTTTCCGGTCCGGTTGTGGGGCCTGAACTCTGGGCCTGAGCACTGTCCCTCAGCTCTTCAGCTCAAGGCTAGTGTCCTACCACTTGAGCCACAGCGTCACTTCTGGCTGTTTTCTTTTTGCTTATGTGGTGCTGGAATCGAACCCAGGGCCTCAGGCATGCAAGGCAAGCACTCTACCACTGAGCCAACTTCCCAGCCCAGCACCATATCCCTTAGAAATAGAACAATTTGACTTCTTCCTTTCCTACTTGTGTTCCTTTGTTTTTTGTTGCATGTTTTTTTGCCTTATTCTTGCTAAGAATTCAAGCACCATATTGAGTAGAGTGGAGAAAATGGACATTATTAATCCTCACTGTGAAGGAAGTGCTTTCATTTTACCTCATTATTCAGTATGGTGTTGACTATATGTTTATCATATATAGCCTTTAGTATGTTGAGTTACATTCTTCCTAACCATAGTTACTTCTGGGAGTTTATCATGAAGATAGGCTCTGAAATTCTCTGGACTTGTGATGAATAGCCCAGGGGGAAAAGGTAGAGAAAGTAGAGAAATGGTAGAGGAATAAGGAAGCATGGGAAGAGAGTGAACTTTTGAGCCCATCATTGTGTCTCATCACTTTTGTGGATGGACCGTGAGTGTTTTAGATAGCAACTCTCAATTCAATGTGGGATTCAGAGGAGGTCCTTCTGCAGAATCAAATGGTTAAACCTTGACTTTGAGGTCCCTGTATCTATACCTACATTTGTCAGTAGCCAGCAGTTCAAATAGAGTGCTTTCTGATCACGATAGCGATATCACTGGTGAAGTATGTAAGGAAAGCCCCCGCCCCCCGCCTCCCCCCCCAGACTAATCCTTGCCCTAGATGGCAGCGTCTGCGTAGTAGGTGAGGCACCTCCCACTTCCGGCCCCCCACGATATAAAAGGGTCCTCTGAGGAGCCGGTCGGGGGCCATCTCCGGAGAGCTTGACTTATTCTGCAACAATAAATCTTGTCTTCCTTGACTTTTTGGTTGGTGTATATTAACTTTTGGTTGTCTTTGGGGCACCTTCTTACTTTCAAAGTAAATTAAAGAGCCAGTAATTGCTCCTTGTTTTGGGAAAGCTGGTTTAGCATGGCTTTGTTTTATGCTGTGCTGATATGATAGGTACTTAGAAACAGTTTTGCTAAAAGCACTGACCCCTCACTTGGCCCCACAAGTTAACTAAAAGCTGGACAAGAAGTAAGCATTCAGCCATGTCAGTCTCATTTGTCTTAAACCTTTGGGTAGACAAGACTTAACTCTCACATACACATGTTAATTGCTTAAGGAGTGTCTGTCTCAGAACTGATGATAACTCATGTATGATCTACCCCTCTGAGGCTGAAATTAAAGTGAGAAGAGAAACCGAAACATTTTTACTTTTACCTTTTAATTTTTAACAACTCCTATCAAAACTTGCCAAAGGGCTCCTGGACATCTCATTATTCTAAACCTTTAAATACTCTGCAATCTAGGAATAGCACAGCTTTCCATTAAGTTATACCGAAAACCACGCAGACACACAGGCACGTACAGAGAAAGGTTGTACTTCTGTCACCAGAGGGAGAGAGAAAGCGCTTGTCTTTATCTAAGGAGGTTTTTATAATCTAGAGGGGCTAAGGGTGGGATTTCCTGCAGGATGCGGGAGCAGAGGATTCCATTCTGGTGGGCTAAGATTTACGCAGCGTCAGAATAGTAGATAAGGGGCCTGCTGTTACCACTGACGGCTGTGACTGACCAAATGGAGTGAGGTGAGAAGTGGAAGCTGGTTAGCAGCTGCCCGCACCAGAAAGGCCCTTTGTTGTCCAATCTGGGGGAAGAAGCGAACACATACTCTCCCCAGACGGGAACAATTATCTTATGGTAACTGAATTGTTCTCTCAGGCATTAAACACTTCTTCAGGCCACCTTGCAAAACCCAGAATTGAGGTAATAATCCGGAAACCATTGACAAAGGCTGTTATGCAAATCTCTCACCTCCTGTCCAATTCTTCCTGTTTCTATAAACCTAAATCTCACACATTGCCCCACAGATGGGCTAGATGCCTTTCTGACTGTGCTGCCTTATTCGCTAAATCTCATCTCCCTCGTCTTACGAATTGTGTCCTTAACTGACATATTGGCACGGTGTGTGTGTGTGTGATCAGATTATTATGAAGGTGGGAAGGGGGGGAAAGAGGAGAAAAAATGCATTTTTTTAAAATTCCTGTGACTGAAGCGTTTGCCCTAAATTCTGATGAGCATGAGTGCTATTTGTGAATGGGAGGAGATAGTTTAAACAATTAGAGATGTTCTGGACCAAATCGCAGGCAGCACTCGGAAGCCTGAGCGGCAGGGGACGTGACTCAAAGCGGGCACCCACAGTTTGTCTCGGAACCGAGTCGAGCACCCAAGGGCGAGCTCCATGTCCCCAGGCAGGGACATCAAGGGCAGCAGCCAGACTTTCCGGGAGCAAAGCTGTCATGGTACTCACCAGAGGACTGGGCCCGAAACCAAAAGATAAAACAGTGTCCATTTATTAAGTTAGGCGGCTTGGAGAAGCACAAAAGCAAGTCTCAGCACCAGCCCCGCAAGCGTTAGGATTTATCCAGAAAGCCTAGGCGTACTCACGCTACTGAGCATGCGCAAACCCCAACCCGCTTTCCAGAGGGGCGTCGTACGCTACTGAGCATGCGCAAACCCAGGTCCGCGTTCCCAGAGGGGCTTCGTTTACCTCCTGCGGAGGCCGCGCCGGTCGGAAACGCTTCTGGGCGCGCTTCGAAATGCGTCATAAATTGGCGCCACCGGGAAGGGCCGTCTCCGGGCGCCTATATAGACAGCGGCTGGCGTTCTTCCTGATACCTGACTGCTTAGCTGCAGCCCGGGAGCAGGGCCGTTGGCGGTGCTTCCGTCGCGGCGTTCAGGCTCCGGGGCGCCGGTCCAGCCGGCGAGGCGCGACCCGGCGCGGAAGGTCGGGCGCCGGAGGCGTCGGGAATGGGGGCGGCGGGCCTCCCCGCGCGGCGGCGGGCCCTCCCGGGGCTGCTGCTCGGCCTGCTGTGTGCCCTGTCCCGGGCCGAAGGCGGGAAGGTGCTGGTGGTGCCCATGGAGGGCAGCCACTGGCTGAGCCTGCGGGACGTGGTGCGGGAGCTGCACGCCCGGGGCCACCAGGCCGTGGTGCTGGTCCCCGAGGTGTTCGAGTACGTGAGGGAAGAGGCCTTCTTCACCTTCTTGCCCTATGCCATTCCCTTCACGAAGCAAGAGTATAAGGACTGCTACCTGAACCACCTCAACGTCGCCTTCGAGGCAGAAAGTTTTCTGGACGTGGCTTACAAAAGTGTATCAAGAGTAAAAAAGTTACCGGGTTTGTTTGCGAGGTCCTGTGAGGCGCTACTACATAACACACCCTTCCTCGCGCATCTGAATTCCAGTTCCTTCGATGTGGTTTTGACGGACCCTGGTTATGCCTGCGGAGTAGTGCTGGCTAAGTACCTGAATGTGCCTGCCGTGTTTTTTCTGCGCTACATGTTGTGCGAGGCATTCTATTACGCTACACAGTGTCCCAACCCACCTTCATACATTCCTAAATTGGCAACGATGTACTCAGACCACATGACCTTCCTGGAGAGGGTCAAGAACATACTCGCCTTTGTGTTCTTGGAAGGTTTTTGCTCTGTACTTTTTTCTCCTTATGCACGGCTCGCTTCCGAGCTCTTGCAGAGAGAGGTGTCGGTGGTGGATATCTTCAGCCACGCTTCCCTGTGGATGATCAGAGGGGACTTTGTATTGGACTACCCCAGACCCATCATGCCCAACATGGTCTTCGTCGGGGGCATCAACTGTGTCAACCGGAACCCACTCTCTCAGGTCTGTATTTATTTATTTGCAGGTCCTGGGGCTTGAACTCAGGGTGTCGGCACTGTCCCTGAGACCTAGACTTGTACTCAAGGCTAGCGCTCTACCACTTAAGCCACAGCACCACTCCCAGCTTTTTCTGAGTAGTTTTATTGCTTATAAGAGTCTCACGGACTTTCCTGCCCTGGCTGCCATTGAACCCCCACCCTCAGATTTCAGTCTCCCGAGTAACTAACTAGGATTACAAGCATGAGCCACTGGCACCCGGCATATATTGATGTTTTTATCTAGCTAAAACATCAGGCAGAATTTTTATTTTAATTCTTTCAAGTTCTTACCTTTCCTAAGAGTTCTACCTCTCCACCTAATAGTCTTTGATAAGTTAAACACTGCACGTTTTCATTGAAGGTATACAACACCAAAGGTTATATATATACTCAGTGTTTGCAATGAGTCTGAAATAGGACTGAGGAGCAGTGCCACTGGTCATCTTCCCAGGAGGAAGCAGAGGAACTGAACTGGCCTGTCCCAGAAATACTGCTTTCAGATTTTAAGTACAAAGAGTGGAAACTAGCAAATTACATTCATTTTAATGGTGCTATCTGGGAGGGCAGAGATGCACTCACAAGAGACCTAAGAACGGAAATCTAATGTGTAGTTAGATGTCTCAGTGTGGACTAGCCACTTTTCAAGTGCTCAGTAGTTATGTGTTCCTAGTAGCAACTGTATGATCAATGTTGGTAATTATTCCATGATACTTCCAAGTTATGTATTTTTAACTTTTTCTATTTAGGCAAACAAAGCAAAAAATAAAGAATTCTACTTAGAGAAATCCACTTCATGAAAGTGTACTTTTTAGGGGGAATAAAGGCAGAATAGCTTATGTATTTCATCATGAGTCCATGTACTGCTTCCCAGTCTAATCACACTTGACCTTTGGCAACTGATATTAAAGTGGTTTAATGGAAACTGGAGGAAGTTGAATCTGTATTCACTGAAAAAAAAAAAAAAAACTAGTGAGAAAGTGAATTATAAATTTCTAGAATGGTAAGCAGATTCAAGTGATTTCCTAAGAGAAAGAAGGTGTTAACTCTGCCATTTTGGAGTCAAGACAGGTAGAATCAAATGGATAGATTGTTTAGTGGTTATTAGAAAACACCATTGTTTCTTCTGTTTCTGTTGTGTGAGGGTAGCTGAACCAATTGATAACATTGAGGAAGACTGATTTCCAGCTGTGTGTGGAGCTCCTGTCAGAAGTGGTTGGTTGACTGTTTGGTTTCTGCCCAGGTTGCCTAGAGTCAGTGACTCTCCTTGCCTAGTGTACTCTAGGGAATGGTGGTAGTGAGTTCCATGGAGTGGATCCACTACAGTGGAGTCCAGATATTTGTCTCTGCACTGGAAGAAATGCCCTTCATTTTCCATTCTGAAAGTCTACTAAAACCTTTCAGAACAAATGAGTGGCCATATGTAGTCCTGTAGTATGAAAGATAATTTCAAGCTTGAAAATTGAGTCTGATGCTTTATTCTTCGGTGAAAGACCAACTGCCCATTAATGGTAGCACCAGTACAAGACATAGCAAAACAGATTTTTGTGTTTGTTGTTAAAACTAGGGAGATAGCTAGAAATCCTTGACCTCCCGGGGTTGCCAAGCTCTTTACCATTGATCTGTTTGCTGACCATCTTTTTTGTGTGTGTTGGTTCTTGGGACTTGAACTCAGGGATTGAGTGATGTCCCTGAGCTTTTTTTACTCAAGGCTAGTGCTCTACTACTTGAGCCATAGCTCCACTTTTAGCTTTTTTCTTTTGTGGTTAATTGGAGGGAAGACTCTCAAGGACTTTCCTGTCTGGGATGGGTTTCAACAGTGATCCTCAGATCTCAGTCTCCTGTATGACTAGCATTACAGGCATAAGCTATTGGCGACTGGCCTTCCTGACATCGTTTAGCCCACTGTGTAGAAACACACACACTCAATTCTATCCTGTCTAGATTGGCTATCTCCACTATATACAACCATGGATCTGGGCCTGCTCCTTCTCATCCCCTAACTCCTCACATCCCTCACTACTTCAGAGCCAAACTCACCACACCAAACCACTCAGTGAATATCTTCATTGGTGGGAGTTCCCTGGCCTGTGACGAAATGTGTTTGCAATTCCTTGGTAGCTGGTATTATTTTGGCATTTCTGTCCATATGTCACATATGAAGCAGCTACCAATGTATGTCTGTGAAACTACTTTGATGTGGTTTCAACAGATGCTATGAACACCTCTTAGACAGTGCACGACCCATGTTTCTGCCATATGTCGGCACTTCATTCAGGGTGGAATTCACTCCTTGAAGTCCAGAGACAGTCTTATAACTTAGGACAATGTAATTAGGCCCCAGACCTCTCAATAGAGAGTTAACAACTTGTTGCATTCTTTGCCTAGTTTAGTTCCCCTTTTGTTCTCTTTCTTCTGCAATCTGGAGACTTGACCATAGGAAGGAGACACTTTGTGGTAGACTCTCACAAATCAATCGTTCCCCAAATGGCCTGTAGGTAGGGAATAAGCTGGGTGAATAGAATCAACTTCCTCAAATGTGTATATGGGTCCTCACCCAATCAGCATTTGGTCAAGAGGCCATGATATATGTCTACTGCATGGTAATGGCGAAGTTGGTGCAGTTTTGAGGAAAGCTTTATCAAAGTGTCCCATAGATAATCAGGGTAGGGCCTGAGTGCCATCCTAACATGGCTCCAACAAACCACATGACATTAATTGTCTTGACTGTTTCACTATATCAACCTTCCAGAGGACAATGTGCTAGTAAAACTACATCAGCCCAGTGAAATGTATTTGTCTTTTTGTCAGAACTTAAAAAGGAAAATGCATGAATTTAAACTAGTGTTATGTTCATTTGTTATACTAACCTATAGGTACTTAGAGATAGGCTTAATGTTTTACTTCAACATTGGTCCACTCTTCCTACATACCAGTATTTGTGTACAACTGACAGACAACTTCAATTGATTTTAACCAAGAAGTCTAAATATATTCACTTCTTTCACTATAATGTAGTAAAAAAGAAAAATCAAAACAAAGCTAAATGATTCATGGAAAGCTCCCTGGCTCACATTTCCAACCAAAGGATGCACAGAAGGCTCAGCATGGTGGTGACTATCTTCCCTAGCAGTCTCCAACAGAGAATTAGGTACAACAGGCAGAGGCCTGGCGCAAGTGGTAGAGCCGTTGCCTAGTATTACTTGTAAGAGAAAGCAAAGCGCAGCATCCATCCATCTCAGTTTAAGACCAAGAGAGAGCCTATTTGTGTGTTCCCAACAATCACTACAAATAAGCTTTAGCAAGAACTTTTAATAAATTTTGAGTTACAGTTGTTGTGAAAGTAGAGCTCACTTCCAATCTTTGAAAAAGTGTCCTGTTATTCCTCAACATGTACTTTTAAGTCCAAGGGAATGACTAGGTGTTGATGCGTAGCAGCTGCTCCTGGCCATTTATGATGAGGGACTTGAGCTGTCCATCCTCCTCCACTTCCACCCTTTCCTGGCCGTTCTCCACGATTCTCTTGGTGGTGATCTTCTTGCCATTGACGATTTCTGTGGAAGTGGACACGGACTTGAAGTTGCCTGCCCCGCCACCGCCACAGGACATGGAGAAGGAAGAAAGGCCGTCGGCCAGGGGCCCGAAGGATGTGAACCCCGTGTCGAAGGAAGAAAAGCCACCGCCAAAAGCGGGGAACTGGGAGAAGGTGGAGAAGAGAGGCGCGGACGCCCTGCTTCTGCTCCTGCTTCCTCGCGGGGTCCTGTGGCCCCCGAAAATGTTCTCCAGCGGGGCCCCGAAGAAGTCGAAGGAGAAGGGGTCCTGTCCGCCGAAGAACTCCCTGAAGACGTCGGCGGGGTCGCGGAAGCTGAAGACGCACTCGAAGGGGTCGTGGCAGGGGCGGCCCGCGGCGCCCCCGCTGTCCTCGCCCGCCTCGCCATAGCGGTCGTACACGCCGCGTTTCCTGGCGTCCGACAGCACCTCGTAGGCCTGGGCCACCTGCTTGAATCTCTTTTCTGCCTCCTCCTTGTTCTCGGGGTTCTTGTCGGGGTGCCACTTGAGCGCCAGCTTGCGGTAGGCCTTCTTGATGGCGTCGGTGGAGGCCTGCCGGGGCACGCCCAGGACTTCGTAGTAGTCCACCATGTTGGGGGCAGAGGAGGGCAGGCAGGGCGCGGCCCTGGGGCCAGGGCAGGGCAAAGGCTGCTTCTGGTTGAGGCTGCTGGCTGAGTCGTGGCGTCGCTCTTGTGACGTGGCCGCATCTGATTGGCTGATGCTGTCTGGGTCTTTCATCCCAGAATGCAGTGCTCCACGGGAGAGTGGAGGGTTTGCCTTGTTACCTAGTAACCGTGGCGCCTAGGCCTAGAGGCCAAGCTAGACCCTGCCTCTGTGCTGCGCACTGCCCGCACAGTGGAAAGCCACGATCAGAGGTGTAGTTTCTGGCAGGTTCATAAAAAGTAAAGGAAAGCTGAGGATGAATCTGGGTGCCTTAGGGACTGTTTTTCCTAGGTCTACTGCTGATGGCTCACTCCTATAATTTTAGCTACTTAGGAGCTTGAAATCTGATGATCCAGGTTTGAAGCCAACCAGCGAGACCCCATCTTCAGTGAACCAGAAAAAATGATGGACTGAAGGTGTGGCTCAAGTGGTAGAGCATCATCCAAGAGCCAGAAAAGCCTAACTCAGTGAGAGTCTGAAGCCTTGACTTCAAGCCTTGAAGCCTTGGGTCCTGACAGGATATAGACACATAGACACAATGCTAAGATGACAGGAATTTGTTTTGTCTGACCTTGGGCTGAACAGTACACCCATTTCCTGTGTAGTTCTCAAACATTTTAGCTTTAGGAAGTATTTGCTTGTGGTGTAGGAGAATCACACATTTTTAGTTAACATTCCTTCTCAAGGAGTGACCTTGGGGTAAAAAGGGCAGTTCTGCCAAGTAGGGCAGAATTTAATCTTTATTGAATCCATAAAAGCAATTCAGAAGCCAGGTGCTGGTGGCTTACCCCTGTAATCCTAGCTACTCAGGAGGCTGAGACCTGGGGATCGTGGTTCAAAGCCAGCCCAGGCAGGAAAGTCTGTGAGATTCTTATCTCCAATAAACCATTAGAAAACCGGAAGTGGTGCTGTGGCTCAAGCAGTAGAGAGCTTGCCTTGAGCTGAAGAGCTGAGGGACAGTGCCCAGGCCCAGAGTTCTAGCCCCACGACTGACCAAAAAAAAAAAAAAAAGCAATTCAGAGAGGGGCGTTGGGCACCATTCAGCATTGCTGCTTATTGCTGCTTATGTGCCCTCTGCACATGAAAGTGTGCAAGAGAGTGAAACTTTGGTTAAACCCTGCTGCTATTCACCTTTGGACCTGTAGATTTGATTTAGTCTTAATCACATCCTGTCAGGTACTGAGATGGCATGGGAGGGTGTAAAGGGAAATTAGCCCAATTCCTTTCCAGAAGAGATTAAATGTAGCTTAAAGGAACAAAGGTCTTGAGGCTTTAGGTCAGCCATGTGCCTCAGGAAATTGAGAGATGAAAGGACAGTCAAATGAGCTGCCTTAGTAGAGGATATGATGGGGGATGGAGAAAAGGGAAGTTGTGAGATTTGGGGGAGAAAGAGCTAGAAAAGAAAACCAACTTCAATATGTTCCTGTCATAGACAAAAGATATAATGTATGGTGTAGGGCAAAGGAGAGATCCTTCATCCTCATCCTTTAGACTGGCCTAGTGGACATGACCAAGGTGTAGCTACTTGATGAGCTAGAAGGCTGAGGGCCAAGGCCTTGGGCTGATGGGAGTTGGTCACACCTTTGAGAAGGCTATTGAGAGGCTGAGATTTCCTAGGCCTTTTCAGGCTGGGTTCTTCAGACCTCAGTTCATCAATGGTGAACCCAGTCAGAAATACCTGTATCTCGCAAATAGGGAGACCAAGGTTCTAGTTAGCTCATCTGTATCTTCCTTATAGGGAGAGCGAGGTTCTGATTAGCCCAGGACTACTCAGGTTTTAGTGTTAAAAGTGCCCAGTCTGGGGCTGGGAAGGTGGCTCAATGGTAGAGTGCTTGCCTTGCATGCATGAGGCCCTGGGTTCGATTCCTCAGCACCACATAAGCTGAAAAAGCCAGAAGTGGTGCTGTGGCTCAAGTGGTAGAGCACTAGCCTTGAGCTGAAGAGCTGAGGGACAGCGCCCAGGTCCAGAGTTCAGGCCTTACGACCGTCAAAAAAAAAAAAGTGTCCAGTCCCAGGTACTTTCAGCTGTGGTCAGCCTGCCATATCACACCACCTTGTTAGTGTCCCCAATGTTCTGGGACACATATGAAACCATTTAGGAGACTATGGGGTTAAGTTGGCTCCCTAGTAATTTGCTGCTGGAGAGACTTGCTGCACATAATGTCCTTTTACGTGGATCTGTGACTGTGTGTGCAAGCATGTAGGTACATGTGATGTGTGCACCTGTGGATGCATGTTTATAGACACATACACACATGTTCCTCTGATTTTCTTTTGTCAGGTTTGGTCATTGCCTGGATTACGTTTCTCAACAATTCCAAAGATAACCCTGTATAAATCACTTCTCCTTTGTAAAGGATTAGGGTAGAAGGGAAGCTACAAAACTACATCTCAGTAATTGTTGTCTTTATCTTATACACATCTTTAACAGCTTAACAGAATGTATTTAACTCAGTGCTTAAATTATGTAATCACTAAAGAATATGAGAAAAAGTGAATTGGAAACCTCTCTTTTGTCTGTAGGAATTTGAAGCCTATGTCAATGCCTCTGGAGAGCATGGGATTGTGGTTTTCTCTTTGGGATCATTAGTCTCAGAGATTCCGGAGAAGAAAGCTATGGCAATTGCTGAGGCTCTGGGCCAAATACCTCAGACGGTAAGACAATTCTCTGTAACTCCTTTATATCTCACTACAAAGGGATTCAAAGCCCAAAAACCTGGCTCTAAATGAAATTGATCTTCAGGAATTAGGATTTGAGTATCCTTCAGAAGTTATTTTCTTTTTACATATAACTCAATTTTTAAACCATGGTCTGCTATCTTTTTCTTTTAGGAGAATTAAAGTGTTAACTTTCAGCTAAAAATCAACATGATGTTGGTTCATGTTAAATAGGAATATGTCACCAAAAAGTTACTCATTAGATCTGTTCATGGTGGAGAATGCCTGGAATCCCAGCCTCAAGAATGTCAGATATGGAAGAATCAGGGTTTCATATCAACCCCTCCATATTTGCAGGATAATGAGACCCCAGGAATGGTGGGGCACATCTGTGTTTCTTAACGCCTGCTGGGCAAAAAGTGCAAGATTTCAAAAATAAGGATATGGTATGTTCCTGAAGTGATTGAGTATTTGCATAGCAAGCACAAAGCCCTGAGTTCAAACCCCAGTGTTGAGCCAGAAGTCAGAAGCTTGCACCCATAATCCTACCTGCTCTGGGGGCTGATACCTGGGATATCATAGTTTGAAGCCAGCTAACTCAGAAAAGTCTACAAGACTACTTCTTCAATTATCTAGCAGAGAGCTGGGCTGAAGCCATGACTCAAGTGGTAGAGTACCAGCCTTGAACAAGCAAACCAAATGGGAGTGTGAAGCCCAGAACCTGAGTTCAAACCCTCATACCAGTGTATCAGTACCCAGTACTACTGAGAATAAAAGGCTATTGGTTAGAACGCTGAATTTATTTTGTATACTTTTGCTTAGAGTGCTGTATCAACTTACTTCTTTAAGTAAACTCTTGCTTCAAGTGCAGAAAAGTAAAAACACTCTTTTAAGTGCATAGTATTCACTATGCATAACAAGCATACTCCTAAGTACCATGCCTCTGAATGAAATGTCAGTCCCAGAAGGCTTCTGAGCCACCAAACCTCCGACCTGTGCAGAGGTTGTATTCAATCTGTTTACCTAGTGGGACTCACCTTTCTAGCTACTATAGCATATGTTAAAGATCATGGATTTTTTTTTTTTTGTTAAACCCTCTTCTTCTTGACCCTGCAAGGTCCTGTGGAGCTATGCTGGAAGCCGGCCATCAAATCTTGCCAAGAATACAATACTTGTCAAGTGGTTACCCCAAAATGATCTGCTGGGTATGTTGGGAAGATTTGATGTGTAGGTCAAACCCAGATTAAATTAAGAAAATGGCTAGGCATGGGTATTAAAAAGAGGAGTGTTTCCAGCACAGCTATAATCCTAGCTACAGGGTTCTGATGTGGTTCAAAACCAGCTCAGGCAGGAAAGTCTGTGAGAGTCTCCAGATCTTATCTCTTAATCGCCAAAAAGCCGGAAGTGGTAGAGTGTTAGCCTTAGCTTAGGACAGTGCCCAGGCCCTGAATTCAAGCTCTAGGTTCAGCACCAAAAAAAAAAAAAGGTTGTTTAGCTTGAACATACTGTGGCCAGTATATCCCACATTACTTTTTATCTAGGGGGTATGTCACTGCATGTTTGTTTTTTTGTTTTTTGTTTTTTTCTGGTAATCATCAAGAGCATTTGGGAGCATCAACAAATTCTCAGGATACTTTCAGAATCTAGATAATGTCAAACTAGGAAACTCAACTAGACTATCAGTAATGCTCCTTGTTTGCTTCTCAGGTCATCCAAAGACCCGGGCATTTGTCACTCACTGTGGCTCCCATGGCATTTATGAAGCTATATGCAATGGTGTCCCCATGGTGATGATACCCTTGATGGGTGACCAGCTGGACAATGCAAAGCGCATGGAGACCCGGGGAGCTGGTGTGATCCTGGATGTCTTTACAATGACTTCTGATGATTTAGCAAAGGCCCTCAAAACAGTCATCAAGGACAAAAGGTAAGAGAGAGGGTAAAGAGGTAGGGCTTGAGCCATGGCTCAAATGCAAGGCCCTGAGTTTAAATCCCAGTGTTGCCAAAAATGACATGGAAATAAGTAAGAAGAGTACTTCCTATATTTTGGCCTTAACACTAATGAGAAACGTTCCATTGTGAAAACAAATATGTAAAAATATAGAATTGTAATAAGATAATTTGGGGGATTAATATTACTTTAAAAAATGATACTTCAGTTACTGTGCAATTTATCATAGAATTAAATTAATGTTTTATTTTCCCTAGTAGTTACAAACTTCAGTTTATAATAAAATGTTACCAGAATTGAATGATGAAAAGTTCTGGCAAAGAGAAAGACTTTGAAAAGAAGCATAGTAGCCATAACATAGAACAAGTCAGTACCTACTTCCCTGCTTGGGATCTGTGAGAAATTTTCTCCATGAAGCCGTGTAAATGTGGGACTCAGAGGCTGCCACAGACCACAGTGTAGCATAAGCAAAGGCACCTTTGTTAAAAAATAGCCTGGCAATTTCAGAATTCAAAATGTATCAGTTGACATGATCTCTGCATGAAATTTAGGGTACTGCTGTCAAGCTTACTGATATTTAGATCATCATTACCTTCTGGGAGCAGATGATGGCTAGTGGTAGATTTTACTCAACAATAGTGTATTTGGGTGTGTTTGCCTATGAGTGTGTGTGTGTGTGTGTGTGTGTGTGTATAGGAGTTTTAGGTATGTTGTCTTAGTCTGTTTTCTTTTCTTTGTCTTTGTGTGTGCCAATACCGAGGCTTTGGGCTTCTACTTAGCTTTTCCTGCTCAGGACTGGTATTCAACCACTTGAGCCATGCCTCCAGTTCCTTTATTTCATTTTCTATTGCAATAAGAATACCTGAGGTTCAGTGATACCCAAAAGGCAGAAGTTTACTTTCTCACAATTCTAGAGTCTGGCATGTGCAAGATGGGGTTGTCACATTCAGTGGGCTCTCATAACTTTATAAAAGTAGAAGGGCATGAGTGTTTGTGATAAGAGGCAACTCAAGGTATTCTCACTTTTTTTTTTTTTTTGGGTCCAGTCATGGGGCCTGAACTCCTGGCCTGGGCGCTGTCCCTCAGCTCTTCAGCTCAAGGCTAGTGCTCTACCACTTGAGTCACAGCGCCACTTCCAGCTTTTTTCTTTTTGCTTATGTGGTGCTGAGGAATCGAACCCAGGGCCTCATGCATGCAAGGCAAGCACTCTACCACTGAGCCACCTTCCCAGCCCCAAGGTATTCTCACTTTTATCACAGCATACTTTCACAGTTTTCATCCAGTCCTGTGAGAAAAGCATTAATCTCCCTAATAAATTCTCAAATACGACACCATCACTCAGTACCATTGCATTGGGAATTAAAGTTCCAACGCATGATGGGGTGTGGGAGAAGGCAGAGTCAAACCATAGCATGGCTAAACCCATAGTTGTCCTTTTGAAAGACATCAAGGAGGAGACACGGGAACAGTGTTTCCATTGAAGGAAACAGGACACAGGGAAACACAAGCCTGGCCCAGGGAAAATGGGAGACACTCTTTTTTTTTTTGCCAGTCATGGTGCCTGAACTCTGGGCCTGGGCACTGTCCCTCAGCTCTTCAGCTCAAGGCTAGTGCTCTACCACTTGAGCCACAGCACCACTTCCAGCTTTTTCTGCTTATGTGGTGCTGAGGAATCGAACCCAGGGCCTCATGCATGCAAGGCAAGCACTCTACCACTGAGGCACCTTCCCAGCCCCCGGAGACACTCTTATAAATTGAGGTGCTAAGTGTGTATGGTCTTGTGGATGGAAACAAAAAGCCAAATAACCTCAAGATACAAGTCCAGAGCCCGAGGTGGGGTGGGGCTCTCATCTCTTGCTCCCGTTGGCTCCTTGTGCCCTGGCTTGTCAGCTCTCACATCACAGTGCCTGGCTTCTTCCAGGCACTGATAAAACTCATTCTTGAGTTTCACGTTATAAATACAATTTAGATTCTTTCTTCAATTTCTTTCTTCTTGATTCCTAAAAATGATTTGGCAGATATCCCCTATTGTTTAAGTTCACCTATTCATTTTGATCCTGATTGCAAATCTTCATCTTTGTTTCCTTTTCTCTGTATTTCTCTTCCTTCTCTTTCTGCTCCTCATCTTCCTCCTCCCTCGTCTCATATCCCCCCTTCTTTTCCTTATCTTCTTTGTCCTTTTTTACAAATAAAGAACATGTATGAAGTGTGTGTGTGAGTGTTTTCTGGTTTTAATAGAAATACATTTCTCCCCAAGTTGAGAAAACCTGGTAGCCATTACCACTGGGAAGCCAGCCTAGGGAGGACCGTGCATTACGCAGGTCCTCCCTCATTCACTAACTGTCTTTGTGTCTAGCTACAAGGAGAACATCATGCGCCTCTCCAGCCTTCACAAGGACCGCCCCATTGAGCCCCTGGACCTGGCTGTGTTCTGGGTGGAGTATGTGATGAGGCACAAGGGGGCGCCACACCTGCGCCCTGCAGCCCATGACCTCACCTGGTACCAGTACCACTCCTTGGATGTGATTGGCTTCCTCCTGGCCATTGTGCTGACAGTGGCCTTCCTCATCTTTAAATGTTGTGCCTTTGGCTGTCAGAAATGCTTTGGGAAGAAAGGGCGAGTTAAGAAATCCCACAAAACCAAGGCCCATTGAGAAGTGTTGGGGAATAAAGGGAACTTTTAATGTATTTTCCAGTAAACACATAACTTAAAAAAAAATCATGCCCGGTACAGTGGCTTACACCTATAATCCTAGCTACTCAGGAGGCTGAGATGTGAAGATCACAGTTCAAAGCCAGCCCAGGCAGGAAAGTCCTATCTTATTTCCAGTAAACCACTCAGAAAACCTGAAGTGGCACTGTGGCTCAAGTGGTAGAGTGCTAGCCTTGAGCTAAAGAGCTGAGGGACAGCACCCAGGCTGAGTTCAAGCCCCACAACCAACAATAAATAAATAAACATAATTCAATCACCGGTCAGAATTCATATTGAATGTGAATTCTGTCTCTCCAGTATCTTTAATCTGGACTGTACTTGTTTTTATTAACTAAATGACTTATGGAAGGATTGCACTTTCATTAATTTTCTTCATCATAAGTGTGACCTCTTAACACAAGACAGAATTTGGAAGTTGTCCTGTGGTTCCCTGCACTTTGGGTGACAGTGTTTACATTGTCTTCATCCTCTTGATTTCTGCAGAAGTGTAGTTACTCTCTTCCCCCATGATGTTTGGTTCTTATTCATGTTCATGCTTCATAGGTGTCACTTGGTGTGTTTCTAGAAGGAAACCTTGAGCCTTTAGAGTGTACTGTTATCATTGAATGGCTTGGAGACCTTGGAAGCAGTGTACTGTTTTTGCTTTGGGAAGGGGAATGAAAAGAATGATGGTATAAGATTGATGAGTCTTGTATCTGAGAGGGTAATCACTGAACTAAGGTAAATAAAAGGAGGCACTCAGCAGCATGAGAGGAGCCATGATAGTGCTGGAAAGCCAGGGCAGGGGTGGTGACGATGCTGGGGAGCCATGGCAGGAACCTGTTAGACAAACTCACAAACGCCCTCCAAAAAAGAACTTAGGACAGGAGGGGGTTTGTGGGTACCCAGTTCTATTCTGAGTGGTGAGCCTGTCGCCTACATATTTTTCTTTCTTCCTGACAACCAGATATTTAGCTTCTGTATTCTGCTTCTGTATTTTGCTTGGCTTGTAAAACATAGGAGGGTTGGAAAGATTCCATTTACATGACTCTCCTCCCCCACCCATTTTGGGGTATAAAAACCCCTACTTGTTGCTATTTGGGGCTGCTTCTGGGTTCCCGTTCAGTTAAAATTGGCTATTGGCAAATTTCCTTTTGCTAATAAACTTCTTCATAATCAGGGTTTGGTTTCTGAGCTGGTCTGGGTCCTGGGGATTTTTCAACTTGTTGCATCATCACTGTGTCGCATGGTCTGAATTCACCTGCCCTAGTGTTGGGCGCATGCATTTTCTGTGATATTTCCTACAACTAAGAGTTTCTTAATAAATATTTTTTTATTTTGTATTTTGTTGGTGGTTTTTTCCTGCATCGATATTACATTTATTGTGAAATTGCAGTTTCTAATTCTGAAAGTAATACATGATTATGACAGAAAATTGGCAAGTACAGATCGTCACACATGGACCTTGCATGTGCACAGGTACACACACAAGATAAGAATCATCTGCAATTGCCCAGAAATTGCCCAGAAATAACCTCTGTTACTGTCTAGTTTTGGGTCATGACTGTGTTCCAAAGGCCTCTGTGGAAGATTTGGTCTTCCCTGCCATTGTTACCGTTGGGAGATGGTGGACGCATTATTAAGTGGGACCTGGCTGGTACAGGTGACTCCCACCTACAGCCCTAGCTACTCAGGAGGCTGAGATTTGGAGAATCTCAATTCCACATTAACCTAGGTAGAAAAATTTTCTGGAATGTATTTCTAGAACCTCACAGCTGGGTAGCATGGCTCCAATGATAGAGCACCAGCCTGGAAAGCATGAGGCCTGAGTTCACACCCCAGTACTTCCAAAGAAAGAAAAAAAAAGAGGTGGGGCCTAAGGGGAGAATATTAGGATTGGTTAGTGATTCATAGTTAATATCACCTTGAAGGTGATATCGGGGCCCCTCACCCCTCACTCCATACCCTTTATCTTTCTACTTCCTAGCCACCTTGAATGGAGCAGTTTCTACCATGTACTCTTTCTATGATGTGCTATCTCATTACAGGCCCAGAATGTTGGTCCAGTGACCCAAGGTGAGATCTTCTGAAACTGTGGGCCCAAATACAGTACACCTTTCCTCTTTTTAAGCCTGTTTATCTCAGGTATTACAGGAATTGAAAAATGATTAACACAGCTAATTTTGACAGTTAATGTTACACATTTTAACAAATACACATTGTTGCAAATGTTTTCAATATACCAAAGATATCTGGTGTTTACTAACATTCTATATAAATGAGTTTTATGTTAGCAAATCTTTATTTCCAGCTAAAATGTTACTAATGTGGCTTTTACTGTCCACATTTCTATCAGCATTCTTGTCTTCCCAGCCCTGACCAGAATCACCTATAAGGATCTTCTTCCTGCATTCTAGGCTGTCTCTACCCTGCTGTTTGAAACTCATCCAACCTTTTCCCATTAACCAATCCAAAAGTTCTTCCACATCTTTGAATATCAGTAATGATTCCACTCCCAATACCAATATTCTGTACTAATCAGTTTCTCATTACTACAATGAAGAAGTTTCTGAGTCAAGTAACCTATAAAGATAGACACATATTTGACTCATGAATTCAAGCTCTTGAAATTCTATAGATTAATTGATAGTTTGTTTATTTCCTGGAAAGTTCCCACAGACTCAGAGCAGGGAGCTCAATAGAATGACAGCATCGAAGAGAGGCTGAGTGTATGAATAAACCACATTTGAATCAAACGTCATCATCAGGAAAAAGTACTTTAGTTTTGGGAAATCAAGAACTTTGTGTGTGTGTGTGTGTGTGTGTGTGTGTGTGTGTGTGTGTGTGTGTGTGTGTGTGTGTGTGTGCGTGTGTGTGTGCGCGCGTGCATGCGTGCGCACACGCTACTGGGCTTTGTGCCTGCTAGGCAGGCAGTCTACCTCTAAGCCATGCTTCTAGCAGGAAGACGCATCATTTTTTTCTTGATCTCATTGTCCTAATGCCTTTTCTAGTGAATACATTCAAGTGCATTGCATTTTGGGCCATTACTTACCCACTTTGTGTAACTTTAAAAGATAGCTCTTTTGCCAGGTGCTGGTGGCTCATGCCTGTAATCCTAGCTACTCAGGAGGCTAACATCTGAGGATCACAGTTCAAAGGCAGCAAAGGCAACAAAGTCCGTAAGACTTATCTCAGCCACCAGAAAACTGGAAGTGGCACTGTAGCCCAAGTGGTAGAGTACTAGCCTTGAACTGAAGAGCTCAGGCTCAGAATTCAAGCCCCATGACTGACCAAAAAATACCAAACCAAAACAAAACAAAAAACTCTTTTCTCCATTCCTTTGAGAGCTACATTTTCCCCAAGGGGAGGTTTCAACTCTTAGTGTTTACTCACTTTTGAGTCTGGGTTGGTCTAAGTCTTGCCTCGGTTATTCAGTTGATAAATGGCACCAAGCAATTGGGTGTTGCTTCCAGTGCTAGGCCCCAAGAGGCCCTCAGGCTTCTCACTCGGGTCCTGCTGTGAACAACAGCAAGCCCTGCTGCAAGGGTCCCTCCCACTCATCACTCCAGCCAATAGCCAGTCAGCAACCAGCCACCTACCATCTGACTGTACACACATGAGTGATTCCACGTCTGCTTGGCCGGACATGGCCAAGGGTAGCAGAACCAGCCAGCTGGCCTATGTCTCCTGGATAAACATAATTGATTGATTTCAGCCAGTAAGTTTCAAGGAGATGTGTTATATACTAGTTGCTGACATATTCACTTTGGGTTCTAAATCCACAGTTTTTTCTGTGTTGGGGCTGAAGACTCCCAGAAGACAAAGAAGTGCTACTCACCACTAATCCATTGCTGCATATAGTAGTCATGCAGTCAGGGTAAGTGGAATTTGAATTATAGCCATATGACTTGGGTGATTTTTGGAAGAGACATAAAGGGCCCAGTGGGGAATAGGAGGAGGGAATGCAGAGGGGACTGGGAAAGAAGACCGACATGAAAACTGTGTCTCTTTATTTTGGATCAGTGGGTCTCCAAAGGAAGAGCCAAGAACAGTGTAGGGATTTCAGAGGGAAAGACCTGCTTGGCAGTAGGCACAGAAATCTCATTTTCTAGCCACTCAGGTTCCAGGAAGTGGAAATGGACTCCAACCAGGGAAAAAATGAGCTCCCTTGGTGTGAGAAGTGTCCTAGTAGAGGCTGAGGAATTCAGGATGGGCAGACTTGGAAGTGAAACTTTTAAACAAGGACATTGGGGCCAACAGGGCTCTGAGCATTGTTCTGTTGCCCTGTAATGAATAGTATTTCATTGTGTCAACAATTGATCTGAACTGTCTCTGTAAAAATAAATTTTATTGTTATTATTAAGGTGTTATACAGAGGATTACCGCTTCATAAGTCAGATAATGAATGCCTTTTTTGTTTGGACAATGTCATCACTTCCTTCACTTTCCCCCAATCTTGGACTGTCTTGTCTTTCTTATCTACAAGAAACAGTGCAATACTTGGCAGCCAGGGTCCCTCCTCTCCTACCTGACTTTGGGGTTTGTCTTCCAAGTACTTTGTTGGTGGGAATCCCATCCTGTATGTTACCCAGTCCTTGGACAAGGAGTCCTTTATTCTACATACCCCCATCTTGGGCTCCAGCCTCTGAGGCTTAGTTATGAATGTCCCCTCTCCTGCTGTGTCTCTGACACAGGTCACCACACATCAGCGCACACACACACACACACACACACACACACACACGGGTAACAGAAGTATTTAATAACAACATGTGGTTGAGCTTCTATCTTAGGGAGCCACACACTCCTCAAAACCCTGTGTTAATAGACTGTCAGGGAGGCAGTTGGATCTCAGAGTTCCAAGGGTCTGGGATCTAACGGTGATAATTCTAATGAAACTCTCCCACCCTGCCAGGAAAGCTGATTTCCAATGAGAATTACTGTGGAGAAGACCAACTGTCTCTCTTGGACAATGGATCCTGTCACTTGTTTGTATATCCATTGATATGTAATTGGGCAAAGAACAGACCTTTTCTTGTGATACAGTTTTGTTCCATCCAGAAGAGGACAGATGAAAAGGCCAGTACTTCGGTCCCAGGGTGGCTCTTTAAGGAGAAAGCACAGGGTGGTGATGGGCCTGAGGACTGAAAAACTTAGGAGAAGAAGGGAAAATGGTCTGGGAGCTTTCCATCCCCCCCGTCTCACATCAGTGCTAGTGTTTGTTAGCCTTTATGAAGCTGCGATGTTGAGATCATTAGTCACCAGCTTTCCAGGTCCAGAAAAGGGGTAGCCCTTTCTAACCATTCTATTCCTTATTACTAACTAGTGGCTTGAAAGAACAGCCATTTCTTACTGTGTTTCCATGAGTTGGGAGTCTAGGTGTGGTTTTGCTAGGTCCTTTGCCGTGGGTATTAGAGGTTGTGATCAAGGCTGCATTCCTTTTTGGAGTTGAGGCTCCTTTTCCAAGCTCATGTGATTGATTGTTGGCTTATGGCTTTATGACTGACACTCCAAGTCCTAACTCTGTGGCCCTCCATAGGTGGTTTGTTCATGGCAGGTTACTTTTCAAGGCCATCAAAATGTCTCTGTCAAATCCGTAAGATGGAGTCTTAATGGTAATAATGTGATCCCGGTGGTGATTTCCTGCCACCTTTGCCATATTCTAACAATTGGAACCAAGACACAGGTGGTACCCACACTCCGTGGGATTTAAACAAGGATGTGAGGGATTGGGGGCAGCCATCTTAGTATGTGTTGCCACAGCAAGAACTTTACAAATCTCATTTGTCTCCAAAGAACTTGAGGAAAAGATGACAGAAGAAGCCACAGACTTGGATGAAGATGCATCAAGGGAGGCAGAAGACCTGGGGCCTCTTGACAGTAGTAAGGGTGCCACCCATCCCCGCACCATCTCAGCTCCTCCTCCGCTCTGCATGGTGGACATGGTGCCAACGGCGCAGCTAGAGCTGTGCAGGGGTAGGGTAGGTGAGGGATTCTGTTGCACCTCCTGTGGTGGTCATCTTAATCCCATACTTGTGCCATCTTTGTTTCAGGAACCTTCCAACAAGTCACGACCCTCCTGGACATCATGGATACCGAGCCATCAAAGACAGACACAGTTGGCGCTGGCCTTGATATGCGGAAGACGCTGGCCTCGGTGATCATCACAGAGAAGGCCACCACCGAGCCCTCTGTGGTGATGTATGCTCTCATCCACTGTCTGCAGATGCCCAAGGTAAGACCACTTCACCATGGATGCCCTCTTCTGCAGCAGCCACCTTTGGCTGCCTGTGTGTCCACACGCCGTTCAGCCCACATTTGTGCCCAGCATAGACAGTGCGAA